AATACTAAATATATAATTCTTTTTAAATTAAGCACACAAATAAAAGTAATATAACAGGACAAGACAGTGGCATTCAAAATAAGTTCCCTTCTTTTCCTTAATAATATTTAATAGTACACAAATGGAAATAAATGTAATAAAATCAAAACTCTACTTAAATGAGGTTTTTACAAAACCAGAAATTCATGCTCCGATCGTCGAGCATTTTCTTAAACTGAAAACTCCATATTTTGGAAGGTTAACTGTGTCATTATGTGGGAATATTCGGTGGTCGTATTCAAAAAGATATAGCTTTGTCATTCGAAAGATATTTAGATACGTAATTTATCAAGGATAGATATGATAAGATGGTTTATTATACATGTTATATACAAAGTAGTAAATACAGTGAATAGTAGATGTAATAAAATCAATGACAATCGTGATGTAAAAGGTAGAACAGGATTTTCAAACACCTAACATGTACTATTTAATGTCAAGTACATACTGTTTACTTGAGGTATACAATAAGTATATTATATGATATTGTCTTTTCAATATCACACCCGTGTCTACCAGAGGCACCTATATAATCCCAATGGCTTAGTATTCTGTATAATGCCTTGGTTATAGAATACTATTTGTATTTTACAATAAGCTTTTGAACTTGTGATTTTGCTCTGTTGAGATTAAACGTTAAACGGACTTAATGTTTTGATAAAACCCAGTTTGGCAGATATCCCTTTGAAAAAGACATTAATTACTAGAGGCACTATTTAATTCCTGTTAATGCCCTCTTGGGAGTAAGGGGCGAAGTTTACGTTTTTTGCACTTATCTTGTAATAAACCAATGTTACCTATTGTACGTTATTCAGCAAACGCGCACCGGGAACAATTTGATTACAACTAAAAAGGAAGAGGAGAATTAAGTTAACAAATAAAACATAAACATGCTTACGGATATTCTAAAATTCAGTACATCAGTTGTTCCCTATGCTTCAGTGCCGTTTGGTAATAAATGTTTACTTCAAATCATACCCATTTTAAATCAAATTTTAAGATTCATATATCTTTGATTTTTCAGACGTCATAAGAGGCTGCTCAACAGGAGGAGCCGAAGCGAAGAAGACCACATGTTATAAAGATTATTGTAATCTCAATCATGGATTTTCCGTTAGAACTAGTACTATATACACGACCCTCATCATGACAATTTTGTGTAGCCTTTCGTTTAATTATTGATTAGAATCAAACCAGATAAATCGACATCCGTTTCAATTAAGAATGGAGAAAACAAAATCATGTTCATGCACTTTTCACAATGTATATGTTGTCTGTGTACCACGTTATAAAAACATTTACATAACGGCGTTTTCTATGTTTAAAGGAAGCAAAAAAACATTCATCGATCTTTCCTCACAATGCTGTGTTTACAATATTTAAAACTTCATGGCAGGAAATATGATAAAATTATAAAAAAGATGTGGTATGATTGCCAATGAGACAAATCTCCACAGAAGACCAAATGACACAGAAATTAACAACTAGAGGTCACCGTACGGCTTTCAACAATTAGCAAAGCCCATACTGCATAGTCAGGTATAAAGGTCCCAAAATGACAAATGTATGACAATTCAAACGAGAAAACTAACGGCATAACTTATGTTCAAAATGACGTACCAAAAACAAATATGTAAGACAGCATCAAACGACAACCACAGACTCCTGACTTGGGACAGGCAGTTTTTGCTGTCCCTTGAAAAGGGGAGAAAAGATACAAAGGGGGCAATGGCAAATCATAAGTCGATGAAAATTAGACAACACAATAACCACAATAACAAGGGTGGGAGGTAATCAACTATCCACACACCCCACAAAAAACTGACGCGTGACCGGGTGAACTTTTTACCTGTCATATAAAATGTTACAGATGTCTACTGAACATAAATCTTTCAGGTATCGGTATTTATATTTCTTTGATTTTGTTTTATTTACATATTATCTTTAGGCCTACACACTTCTAGCGTTGAAAGTAAAACTATAACATTTAAAAAAAAAGCTTCATTATTTTTATTCTGAGTTTATATTATTGCAACAACCCTAACCCAAAACGGCATTTTATTCACATTCACTACTTTGAAGATATCTTGTAATAAAACATGATAGAAGAGAGGGAATTTAGGACAGAAAGTAATAGGAAAAACAAGTCATAGGACTTAAAGTCACAACTCAGTTTTGAGATTATTTTTCTTTGAGTAAGAAACCACTTATAAAAAAAAACATCAACATTTATTAAAACTAGAGGCTCTCAAGAGCCTGTGTTGCTCACCTGATTCTACTTTGGTTTTGGAAATTATGTTTAAATAAATTAAAATCATAACAGATACCCTAATAATGAATGAGGCCAAATTTGGTTTAATATTGGCCCTGTAATCTAATAAAAATCCTGGTGGTCATCTTGAACAGTAAATCAGCAACAAAGTAGCAACACTTCATCAGCACCTCATATGAAACATTTGTTCTATGTTTGGTTTCATTCCATTCAGTGCACAGAAGAAGCATTTGTATGTATTTTTATAGGGTCTTATGTTAAAGGAAGTCCCCCCGCTGGAGGCCATCTTGGATGATTGATCAACTTCAAAGTAACAACACTTAGTCAGCACCTCATAATGAACATTCATGCCATGTTTGGTCTCAATCCATTCAGTGGTTCTTTAAAAGAAGACATGTATGTATTTCCCATCGGGACCTTTGTTAAACACTGTCCCCCACTGGCGGCCATCTTGGATGATGGATCGACTTCAAAGTAACAACACTTGGTCAGAACCTCATAAGGAACATTCATGCCATGTTTGGTTTCATTCCATTCAGTGGTTCTTTAAAAGAAGACATTTGTAAATATTTCCCATAGGGTCCTATGTTAAACTATGTCCCCTGCAGGCGGCCATTTTGGATAATGGATCGGCTTCAAAGTAACAACACTTGGTCAGTATCTCACAAGAAACATTCATGCCATGTTTGGTTTCATTCCATTCATTGGTTCTCTAAAAGAAGACATTTGTATGTATTTCCCATAGGGTCTTATGTTAAACTAAGTCCCTCGCTGGCGGCCATCTTGGATGATGGATCGGCTTCAAAGTAACAACACTTAGTCAGCACCTCATAAGGAACATTGATGCCATGTTTGGTTCCATTCCATTCAGTGGTTCTCTAGAAGTTCAAAATGTAAAAAGTTAACGACGACGGACGACGGACGCCAAGTGATGAGAAAAGCTCACTTGGCCCTTCGGGCCAGGTAAGCTAAAAATCATAATAATGATCAAATGATTGTTAAGAAAAACAACATTTCAAAGTGGCTTGGTACTTTAACGGATTCATGGTGCCAAGAAATATTTCCTTTGCATGATTAAAATTTTATAAATCTTCATTTATCAAGGCTAATGAACAATTTCCAAAACTGTCAATTATATGTAATTAAAAGTAAATATTTCAAGATCTTTCTCTTGAATATTTTAACAATTGGCAATACATTATTTGTGACTTTCTGTCCTGTGACTTTTTGTCCTATGACGTTCTGTCCGTTTACCAAGAGAGGTTCGTGTTTGAAAATCTGAGGCACGAATACTTTGTATGCATTTACATGTGAATAATTGCGAAATGTTGAAAGACAGTTGCCATGCAGTTTCTACATATGCTGGCGGTATAAGAAATATAGCAGTGCTTTACTTTTACAGGTTTTTACAGGCAACTATTTTTAAGTAAAGGTCCTAAAGGGTTCGTATTGCTCACCTATGTGTATATGCATATCCAATACTTGATGGGCTCTCTCAAACATTGTAAAATTGAGAATGGAAATGGGGAATGTGTCAAAGAGACAACAACCCGACCATAGAGTAGACTAGATTATAATTCATGATAAAAATCTCTGTTTGATAATCGTGCATTGCTATTAGTTTTTTATGATTACAGTTTTCTTAGTTTTGCCCAAAACACAAATTTTAAAAAAAAAAATGGCCATCCAAGGGCCATAACTTAGACTACTAACAATTTTGACAAAAAATGACTGATTTGTAGATCTTGTCTTGCTGACCACTTTGCTATTTTAAGGTTTTTGATTGTTTGCTCAACTTTAATGACATATTTATAATGGTCTTCGGCTGTTGTCTGCTCTTTGACATATTCCAAATTTCCATTCTCAATTTTAGACAGGAACAATGGGTGTTTATGCATATGAATAAATGTTCAGCATCCTCCTATCTTACCCCTGTACCATGTAAGGATATCTGAATCAAGTCATCTTTCCTCATGTCAATTTTAGTATCTCTAGGAGTTTGTTGGTGTTGTTTTATTGTCCAACACTTTAGTAGTTCATGTTTTCCTTATAACGAAAATGTATTGTGTAAATGTTATAACCTTTAACCAATTGCATCATGACTGTTTCTGTTTCATAAAAGAATGTTTATTTATTTTGCTTTATATTAGCATCTTACTCATGCAGTAAAAATGAATATCACTCTAACTATTATATGTTCGAAGCAGTTTTCTGGATTTTCCTTCTTCAGGAACACACAAAACCAAATATGTTAAAGCCGATGATGTAAAGGTACAAAAATTCTGTAAAATATTGGTTTCATGCAAATCCCTCTGCCAAGATACCAGGTAGAGGAGCAGATATTTTGTTTTGATTGATTTTTAGTTTGCTTAACGTCAAGATGGTCAAGTGATTAATTTTGCATGCATATTCAGGATGATATTGATAAAGTTACAGTCTGTTTATGCGAAATGCAACTTTTTAAAATCTTTTGCCATACAACTAAAGGTAGAAAATTAGGATTATTGGACGAGAATGGTCTTCAAATAAGAACAAATCTTCAAAAGGGGCACACAAAATAAGGGGCGGGAAGGCAGCTGGTACTAAACTAAATAACTTCTGTTCAATGATCATGACGGGATAGTCTGCTTCATAGAGTTAACTATTTAATTTCCCTGTAATAGATAGAAATATTTGAACTGTCTAAGCGCACTATTTGCAATGTTTATTTTAATGACATACTACGCAGTCCATTTAAGAATCTTGAGTTTGGCTGGAGATTTTGATTTACGCTCTTCTTTCATATGTTGGCATTGTAGAATTCGAAACCTTCAACTGATAAAGTTTTCAAATAAGACTACTCATTAATCCATTCTTTATTCCAAATTTCAATGATCTCTTACATCTTTTCTTTTCCATAAAAAAAGTTCTACGACACCAATTTCCCATGTTATCATCAGTGATTCATCGTGAAACTAGACACTATCGCCCACTTTGATATTTTGATTGTTTGTTCAGGTTTTCTTGTGAAATTCTCTTAATGCGGCCAAACAGTCGTTTTTATATCTGCTTTGAAATTGTTTGAAAAGATCATGTTTTGATAAAAATAGTAGAAGTGTGTACTGTTAACTCGTCAAGATTTTCGGCAATGTCTGATGAATATGGTGAACGGGTTATTGTCCAGCTGTAAAGAAGAATAGATGGTGTCAACATCTCTTGATCACACGATTCGGATGATACACTGTATAAAACATTTCAAGTTATGATCTCTACAAAATAGTTTTCATAAGTCAAATGATTTGTTTCAAATCTACCATACCATGAAGCTCCACTTGGAATAAACAGCGACATATCCTTCACAGTTGATTGACACTGAGTTTTTAGAAAATTATATTCATGTGTAAGAAAACAATTTTTTTGGGGCCCTTTATAGCTTACTGTTCGTTGTGAGCCAAGGCTCCGTGTTGAAGACCGTACTGTGACCTATAATGGTTCACTTTTATAAATTTTGACTTGGATGGAGAGTTGTCTCATTGGCACTCATACCACATCTTGTTATATCTATCAAAAGAAAGTTGAATCTGAGTCCAACAACCGGCATACTATGTAGATCCAAATGCTGCTTTTCTGGAAATCAAACAAACATTGAAAAGATTTGCTCCTTCATAGTTTGTTTTTCAAAATCCTGAAACTTTTCTTCAGTACCTGAAAAATAAACAACCTAAAGTAATGAAGCACTAAAGTATTTTACTGACACATGGCCATGCAAACAATTATTTAAAATAAACTAAAAAATTACTATTTCTTTGGCTGAATTTTTTTTTTTTAATTACATGTATACAGATATAATCATGTAAGTTGTATGTTGTTATACTAGTGTTCACTTTCGTCTGGAAATTCTCTATCAAATTTTTTCTACAATTCTTTAAGGTGTTTTAAGGTAATACATTTCTTGAGATAAAATTTTCTTATACTTTGCCAGGATGAAGATTTTAATTTTGAAATAAATAGTTGGAAGATTGGTTTTATAATATGTTTTAAGAAAATAAAAAGAAAACATGGTGCCACCAACTTGTTTTTTTACTACAAGTAAAATTTAAAAATTTCCCTATCAGTCCAGTATATATTTTTTATTAAAAGAGTTATTTCCCCTAAAATGGCTTATTTGAAAAAAATGATTCTTAAAACAAAAAAATTGATATTTGTTTAAATATTTTGTATAATACAATAAATCACCAAGTTTTCTTTATATAAATAAACAGTCTAACCAATAAATTGCAAATCTGTCTCCATATTAGCAAATTTGGGCAAATAACTAGATCGATTTTGTACTGTGATTGTACAATCCAAGATGGCGGTATACCATGAATCACCCTTAAGAGAATTATGAAGCAAAGTCTTAAGTCATCATGCAAAATGCAACAGAACAAGAGTGTGTCCATAGTACACAGATGCCTCACTCGCACTATCATTTTTTATGTTCAGTGAACCGTGAAATTGGGATCATAACTCTAATTTGGCATTAAAATTAGAAAGATCATATCACGGGGAACATGTGTACTAAGTTTCAATTGTTTGGACTTCAATTCATCAAAAACTACCTTGACCAAAAACTTTAACCTGAAGGACAGACGGAAGGACAAACGACGAACGGACCCACGGACCAGAAAACATAATGCACCTCTACAATCGTAGGAGGGGCATAAAAAACTTAATGCAATTTGTTGATGGAAGGTGTAAAATAAAATTGTATCATTAAATGTATGTGGGCCTGAACGGGAAGGGGTCCTTATTTTTTTTTTATAACTTTTTAACCGCTTTTCCTTATTCTTTAGTTATTTGTAGCATTATTCTCCATTCCTTATATTCCAGCACCCATTATTCTCTTTTATCTATTTATTTTCTATCTTTTTATTTTTCTACCCAGTTATTCAGCACTTTTTGCCGTTCATTCTCTTATCCAAAAACGCCATCCAACCCCTATGTATGGCGTGAGGAAAACAATACAATACAATACATTAAGGGCAATATTATTAATGTTTAAGGTAGATCATAAGTATATACTTTTTGAGATAGAATTTTCTTATACTTTGTCAAAATGAAGATTTTACTATACTTTTTTCAAAAATGTAATAAAAAGTACGGGTCACTGTGCTATTTTCCAAGCTATGAGTTGTTGAAAATTGCCTAGATTTGGTTCGATTGTTCATGAAAAAACACATTTGTGTGCATAAAAATAATTCTTTGAGATAGAATTTTGAAATAAATTGTGAGAAGATAGGTTTTATAATATGTTTTAAGAAAATAAAAAGAAAAAATGGTGTCTCCGAACTTGTTTTCTTACTACAAGTAAAAATTAAAAATTTCCCTATCAGTCCAGTATATATATTTTTTACTAAAGGTATAGAACCACTAATTCAGGCCCGGTCGGAAAGAACATACAAGAAAGTAGTACATATTTTAAACAAAATAGTTCCTACGCATAGCTGTATCTTTGTCAATAGTGGGAATATTTGGGTAGTTTTAGTATCAAATGAAAGCTTTGGGACTTGGGATCACTGTAGAACCCTAGTTGAAAGTTTTATTTGAATAATAAAGAAGTATATGAAATTTTGATAGGAGGGCTCATTTGGCCTGTTGTTCAGATCAGAAGTTCCTGTTTCTGTACTATCAAACTTCCGGGAAGCAGTACGCTCTAATATGCAATTAAAGGTATGTTGATTTTTTCAGCACAAGTCAGCATAAGGTACAGTTTTGACATGAAATAACTGCCACTTAATTTGAACTTAAGACAAAGTAGCCATTTATGCTTGAAATTGCAGAATTTAACATAGAAAGCAATGGGGCTATGCATTAGTGGTTTTATACCTATTACTGACAGGCATGTTAAATTCTATTTTTAGAAATCATACCCTTTACAGTGAACATTGGTCACATTTGTTGTCAGAAATCATGTTACATTATTTTTTTTATGTAACAATTATGTTAGTGTCAAATTACAGCCCTCAAATTGCTACAATAAGATATTTTAGCCTTTTTTGGTCATTTAGCATGCACACAGTTAAGATTTTACCTGAAATTTAAATTTTTGGATTATCTAACACTGAAACCAATGAAACTTGTATATTATGACTAGTTTATAGTATAAATATTGTTTTTGGTCAAATTATCTAGTGAGTGTTCATGTTTTATTGTGATTCTTGGTGAGTTATTTATTTCAAGGAAAATTGGTGTATACCAGTGATATTGTTTGCCTCAAATTACAGCCGAAATTCGGCTTTTTCCCCTAGAGAAAATTCCCAATTACTAAAAAAAAAGGCTTAAAATTACTCCCAAAAAGTTTTACATTTTCCCCAAACAGTGATGGCATTGGTAGTAATGTTTGTAAATATCGTATTCATGTTATTATTTTGATATTAGAAAGCACTTTTGAGATCCGGTTTTCTGATCAGAATCATCATGGTGTTTGTAACACATGTGGTTTTCAATGCATTAAGTACCATCATTGCTTCTGTTTCTTTCCCCTCTCCGAAAAGTACCTTTCAAGTTGAAAATGTCTGACAACCAAAATATACATGAAAACAACAGTGCAAAAAAGACAGCAAAGGTCAGCAAAAAATCGGAGATGTGTTTAGAATAAAATATACATATTTCCCAATTTCAGTTAAAAAATATGCATTTTTCCCAATAAAAAACGGTAGAGGTAGTTTTGAAAAAAGACAACAATATCACTGTATACTTATATAGGAATTCCAAAATCTCACTTGAAATGCATTTTATAACCATTTTAGCAAGTTGTCTATCTTGGAGATACATGAATTGCTCTTGTTGATCCATGTTTATACATAAAAGTATGTTTTTTTACCAAATCACTATCCTTTTCCAACATGTAGAAAAAAGGGGGGATAAAATTATCAATTATATTTTATGTTTGGACCACTGTATTTATATTCAAGGAAGAATCCCTGATAAAAAAAATAAGACATATAGGTAAGAACACTGTTATTTGAGTAGATATTAACAAATCAGAACTGGTAAAAATTGAAAAAGTGTCATATCTGTCACTATTAGTATCCATATGTAGTTTTCTTTGTTTAACGCATATGTTACTACCAGTCCAATTTGAGCTTGAATTCAGTGATATATTGTTTTGACAAAAGCTTTATGTGTTTTTCTATGCTAGAAATAGATCATAGAAGGAAATTAAGTCAAGCAGAAGTCAATATAACAAGTTTGGTGCTGTTATAGGTATAGAACCACTAATTCAGGCCCGGTCGGAAAGAACATACAAGAAAGTAGTACATATTTTAAACAAAATAGTTCCTACGCATAGCTGTATCTTTGTCAATAGTGGGAATATTTGGGTAGTTTTAGTATCAAATGAAAGCTTTGGGACTTGGGATCACTGTAGAACCCTAGTTGAAAGTTTTATTTGAATAATAAAGAAGTATATGAAATTTTGATAGGAGGGCTCATTTGGCCTGTTGTTCAGATCAGAAGTTCCTGTTTCTGTACTATCAAACTTCCGGGAACCAGTACGCTCTAATATGCAATTAAAGGTATGTTGATTTTTTCAGCACAAGTCAGCATAAGGTACAGTTTTGACATGAAATAACTGCCACTTAATTTGAACTTAAGACAAAGTAGCCATTTATGCTTGAAATTGCAGAATTTAACATAGAAAGCAATGGGGCTATGAATTAGTGGTTTTATACCTAAAGGAGTTATCTCCCCTTAAATGGCTAATTTGAACAAGAAATGATTGTAACAGGATGCTGTTACGAAGTCTCCCAAACGAAGCTCCCATAATTCGTATTTCCCAGTGTCGCCTGACATTGGACAAAGTCCAGTGAAAATTGGTTTGGTCCAGTAAAGTTAATGCATTAGTGATGCCTGGGGACTAACCCTGTATATCATTCAAATCATCTTGGCATGACAACCCAGAATATATATGGTTTAGGGGTGGGGATCTCGACCATTTACAAGATACTAGAACATTGGGGGTGGGGGGAACCCCTGGGGACTGACCCTATACATCATTCAAATGTTCGAGAAACGACGAACAGGAATATATATGGTCTAGGGGTGGGGATCTCAACCATTTACAAGATATTAGAACATTGGGGGTGGGGGGAACCCAGTGGGGACTGACCGTATACGTCATTCAAATGTTTGAGAAATGATGAACAGGAATATATATGGTTGAGGGGTGGGGATCTCGACCATTTACAAGATATTAGAACTTTCTCAAATGGCAGGAGGTCGGGATGACCCCTGGGGACTAACCCTGTATATTATTCAAACCATCTTGGTATGACAAACCAGAATATATATGGTTTAGGGGTGGGGATCTTGACCACTTACAAGATATTAGAACTTTCTTAAATAGCAGGGGGTGGGGGTGACCCCTGGGGACTAACCCTGTATATCATTCAAACCATCTTGGTATGACAAACCAGAATATATATGGTTTAGGGGTGGGGATCTTGACCACTTACAAGATATTAGAACTTTCTTAAATAGAAGGGGCTGTAGGTGACCCCTGGGGACTAACCCTGTATATCATTCAAACCAACTTCGCATGACAAACCAGAATATATATGGTTTAGGGGTGGGGATCTTGACCACTTACAAGATATTAGAACTTTCTTAAATAGAAGGGGCTGGGGGTGACCCCTGGGGACTAACCCTGTATATCATTCAAACCATCTTCGCATGACAAACCAGAATATATATGGTTTAGGGGTGGGGATCTTGACCACTTACAAGATATTAGAACTTTCTTAAATAGAAGGGGCTGGGGGTGACCCCTGGGGACTAACCCTGTATTTCATTTGATGTGCTTTATCATGACAAACCAGAATATATATGGTTTAGGGGTGGGGATCTCGACCATTTACTAGATATTAGAACTTTCTCAAATGGCAGGAGGTCGGGATGACCCCTGGGGACTAACCCTGTATATCATTCAAACCATCTTGGTATGACAAACCAGAATATATATGGTTTAGGGGTGGGGATCTTGACCACTTACAAGATATTAGAACTTTCTCAAATGGCAGGGGGTCGGGATGACCCCTGGGGACTAACCCTGTATATCATTCAAACCATCTTAGCATGACAAACCAGAATATATATGGTTTAGGGGTGGGGATCTTGACCACTTACAAGATATTAGAACTTTCTTAAATGGCATGGGGTGGGGGTGACCCCTGGGGACTAACCCTGTATTTCATTTGATGTGCTTTATCATGACAAACCAGAATATATATGGTTTAGGGGTGGGGATCTTGACCATTTACAAGATATCAGAACTTTCTCAAATGGCAGGGGGTCGGGATGACCCCTGGGGACTAACCCTGTATATCATTCAAACCATCTTAGCATGACAAACCAGAATATATACAGTTTAGGGGTGAGGATCTCGACCATTTTCAAGATATTAGAACTTTCTCAAATGGCAGGGGGTCGGGATGACCCCTGGGGACTAACCCTGTATATCATTCAAACCATCTTAGCATGACAAACCAGAATATATATGGTTTAGGGGTGGGGATCTTGACCACTTACAAGGTATTAGAACTTTCATTAATGGCAGGGGGTGGGGATGACCCCTGGGGACTAACCCTGTAATTCATTTAATGGGTTTTATCATTTAGAACATTTTCAATTAAAAAGATTGTGTCTATCACAATCGGTTTTCAATTTATAATCATTTGAAAATTTTAAAAAATAAAATCCCATAGGGTTCTATAGTAAAACCCTCTTTTCTTTTTGCCCCTCAAAGTACCCCTTTATAAACCCCATTGCACAAACAAAACCCTGATTGCACCACTAGACATGTTAGTCTAACATATTGTGAAACCCTAAGTTAATCTGACAAGCGGTTTTGGAGAACGGGTGCGGACAAGTTCAAATTTAAAAGCGGCGGAAGAGGAAGAGGAAGAGGAAGAAGAATAATAATAATAATAAGAACTGAGCAAAAACAATAAGTCTTCCCAAACTTCGTTTGGGAGACTTAATAAAAAATGATTCTAAAAACACAAAATTTGATATTTGTTTAAATGTTTTGATTAATACAATAAATCATCAAGTATTCCTTATATAAATAAACAGTCTAACCATTCAATTGCAAATTTGTCTCCAAATTTGCAGATTTGGGCATATAACTAGACCGATTTTGTACTGCGATTGTACAATTCAAGATGACGGTATACCATGAATCTACCTTAAGTCATTTAATAATTCAAATTATACATGTATATAAAAATGTAACTCTGTATTTTCATTCTTAGGGCAAAATCATTTATTGTGCGGTCATGATTATTTTGCAGTGATTTAATAATTCTATAATTATACTGTATATAAAAGTATACCTGTGCATTTTCAATCTTTGCAATACTTGTGTTCAACTATTGGTGTCCACTGACTGTGATCAGCATTGTACATGTATTTGATTTGCCTCAGCATCAATATATTCATTCTTTGCACTGCCTATGTTAAACTATTGGTATCTACTTACTGGGTTTAGCATTTTAGATGTATTTGATTTTCCTCAGCATCTTTCCCATCATCAATTAACTGACTTTAATTTGTCCTCTTCATCATCTAGCTTAAGTGTATATAGTACATCTCATCAATCAATAAGTTCCCACGACATTTTTTTTTATTTCCATAAATATTTAAATTTCAATGTCTGCCAAATAAATCTACTGGTTCCAATGACCCTTAATCCATCATAGCCAATGAGTCCTTGTCTTTCCCTCAAAGACTCAAGTGTGTCTGCTTCAAACTCCTAAATTATCATCCCATTACTGTAACATCTTATCCATTTTCTTGAGATTAAATACATTGTCTAGTTCTAAAGATTCATGTCAAATAGGTGTTGTTATGGTTATATTAGTGATGCCATTTATAGGAATAGTCCAATCGTCAGTTATTTGTTTGCATGTAAGATTTGTATAGCCATAACAATGAAATTGTTTTAAATCCGAGGACATATTTCCCAACATCTTTTAACTCTCTAAAAGTCTTACATGTCTGGTCAACCCCTGGTATTCATTTAATTAAACCTTAATTATAACTATTTCTACCAATATCAGCTCAGTTATATTTTCAAAGTGCTTCGTTAACTAAAATTCATGCAATCTAAACCTGAATTGAGCTAGCTCCAAAAATTTTTGGTAATACATGATCAAAGTCGAAAATGAACCAGAAAACTTCAATAGAAATGATTAACTTGAAAGTTGTCTATATGAGCCGTGCTAGTGCTACCATAATCATATTAAGAAGTAGCTAATATTAACATTACAATTATTGTAACTGATTCTTATATTGGTGTCATGTTTTAAGAATTTATCCAACTAATAAATTAATGTCTAATTTGTTACAAGGTGTCAGGTCTTTTTTGGTTTAGTTAGTCATTACTACAAAAAAATAATCTTGCTGGTATTCTAGTTATATAAACACTATTTCTGCTACACCGTGAGTATGATATAAGTACAAGAATGATACAATAAAAAGAGAAAATTGGTTAATTAACTCATCGTCAGTACACTACAAGAGAGATGGTATATGACACTACTTTAAGATAGAAAAGACCCTCTAGGCATAAACACCAGCGAAATTGTATTTCTGAAAAATGCTGTGCACTATATGCCCCATGGAGGTTTTTAAAGATGGGAACGAATTGGTCTGTTTGAATGGCTTCCCGTTGGAAGTTTGTTTGAATGGTTTGCCATTAGGGGTCTGTTTGAATTGCTTGCAAAATCAGGTCTGTTTGAATGGCTAGAAAAATCTTGTCTGTTTGAATGGCTTGCCATTGTCGGCCTATTCAAATGGCTTGTCACTACCGGTGTGTTTAAATGGACTGAAATTGTTGGTCTGTTTGAACCGCTTGCCTTTGATGGTAGACGTGAATAGCTTGTCACTGTGGGTGTGTTTGATTTGATTGAAATTACAGGTCTGTTTGATTGGCTTGCCATTTCTGGTCTGTTTGAATGGCTTTCCATTGGATATAGATATGAATGGCTTGCCATTTCTGGTCTGTTTGAATGGCTTTCATTTGAATATAGATGTGAATGGCTTGCCATTTCTGGTCTGTTTAAATGGCTTTCCATTGGATATAGATGTGAATGGCTTGCCATTTGTGGTCTATTTGAATTGCTTTCCTTTTGATAAAGATGTGAATGGCTTGCCATTTCTGGTATGTTTGAATGGCTTTCTATTGCTGGTGAGTGTGAATGGCTTGCCATTGCAAGGCTGTTTGAATGGATTGGAATTATTGGTCTGTTTGAATGAATTGGAATTGTTGGTCTGTTTGAATGGATTGGAATTGTTGGTCTGTTTGAATGGATTGGAATTGTTGGTCTGTTATGAATTTTTGCTCTGTTTAAATGGCTTGCCATTGCTGGTCCATGTGAATGGCTTGCCATTGCCGGTCCATGTGAATATCTTGACATTGCCGGTCGGTGTGAATGGTTAGACATTGCAGGTCCATGTGAATGGCTTGACATTGCTGGTCCATGTGAATGGCTTGACATTGCCGGTCCGTGTGTATGGCTTTGCACTGCTAGTCTGTTTGAATGGTTTGCCACTGTCGGTATGTGTGAATGGGCTGTAACTAGTTGATCAGGTAAGTCTTTCTTGATACCAGATTTCTTAAATCTGAAAAAATAATCTGTTGTACTATGTTGATAATTTAAATTCATGGTTAACCTTTTCCAATGAAATCAACAAGTAATAATAAATCCACAGTACATTATTTACATTTAAAAGTCAATGTAACAAAAAGAAAACAAATCCAAAAATTTAAATCTAGGAAAATATTTAAATAAAGGCAACAGTAGTATACTGGTGTTCAAAAGTCATAAATCGATTGAGGGAAAACAAATCTGGGTTACAAACTAAAACCGAGGGAAACACATCAACTATAAGAGGAAAACAAAGGAACAACAGGAACACTGAAGTGCAACAAAAACAAAGGCCAACATACATAGAAACACCTGATTAAACAAAGGTAATTTTAATTTGCTCATGCGCTACCTACTTTCTTGTATGATTGTGTTGTTTGATTACTTGTGCATGTCGTGGAATATATTTTTATGTGTCAATTCTTAAGCTTGAAGAATTAGTTCAATCTATGATTAAACAAAAGTAGCCAAGTTAATATAGAATCCCCATTCTGAAAAAAATGAAACATAATCTATAGAAATATATATAAGTTTGCCAGATTTGGAGAGATTAAGAGCTTGACACATTACGAGCCAACCTGTCTAAGAATCAGGCAGTGGTGAAAACATGACAAACAAAAACCCACTCAAGTTGACATTAATTTATGTTCAAAATGTATAACAGTGCACAAATATAACATTCGTTTCTTTTGCCTGTTCTGGTAATTCAAGATATAATTTGGTTGAAATGCACTAAAAATTAACAATTAAGGGCAGCAAACTCCGTAAATTGCTATCATTCTAACCCAAATTTATCTAGAGATTTCTCGAATTACCAGACACACAGAAACAAAAGACCTACAATTTCTAACTCAGGATGAGGGTAACTTCAAAATAGGATGGTTAGGTCTGTGGGTTTTTACTGCCATGTTTCAAAATTGCATGATTCTTACAAAGACTGGCACTTGCCAAAAAGAAAACAAATCCAAAAATTTAGATATAAGAAAATATTCAACCTCTGTTTAAACAAAGGTAATTATAATTTGCTCATGCACTACTTACCAGAGTTTTCAATAAGCACCGGCACCCAGCAAAATTCATCATTTCAAAATAAGGAAATTGCTGTTTCAAATTGTGTTTCAAAATAAAAATAAAAATAAATACCAGAATGCACACGCTAAAATGTCGCGCCTGCTTTAATGACCATTGATTTTATGCTGATAGTCCTAAATATAAAGCTTTACTACAAGTATCACATAATCTTAACATGATCCAAGAAAATGAGTTCAAGGTCAGATAAACCAAACCAGAAATACATTTTCGCCTTACAATCATTCCATACACCAAATATAATTGACCTATTGCTTATAGTTTCTTAGAAACAAACTTAACCAGGAAAAACTTAACATTGACCAATGAACCATGAAAATGGGGTCAAGGTCAGATGAACCATGCCAGACAGACATGTACACCTTACAATCAATCTATGCATTAAATATAGTTGACATATTGCTTATAGTATCTAAGAAACAAACTTAACCATGAAAACTTAACATTGACCAATGAACCATTAAAATGAGGTCAAGGTCAGATGATACCTACCAGACAGACATATACACCTTACAATCATTCCATACACCAAATATAATTGACCTATTGCTTATAGTTTCTTAGAAACAAACTTAACCAGGAAAAACTTAACATTGACCAATGAACCATGGAAATGGGTTCAAGGTCAGATGAACCATGCCAGACAGACATGTACACCTTACAATCAATCTATGCATTAAATATAGTTGACATATTGCTTATAGTATCTAAGAAACAAACTTAACCATGAAAACTTAACATTGACCAATGAACCATTAAAATGAGGTCAAGGTCAGATGATACCTACCAGACAGACATATACACCTTACAATCATTCCATACACCAAATATAGTTGACCTACTGCTTATAGTTTAAAACAATTGGCTCATGAGAGCCTGATATCGCTCACCTGTAACTTCAGTTTCAGGCATTTGACCCAAAACTGTAAAATTTCCTAAAAATTAACCATTTCTGGACAGTAACCCAACAATTAGTTGTCCTATTGGTCTGAAGATTACTTGACAGGTAGATCTAAACCTGTTTAACACTTTCACCTACATGACCTATGTCAGTTTTGCTCTTACTGCTTTAGTTTTTGAAGTGAAAGCCAAAAACTTCATTTGACCCCTATGTTCTATTTTAGAAACTGCTGCCATGTTTTTTAATGGATCAAATCCCCAAATACAATCTATAATTTAGATACCCTAAGGAACATTCAGTTAAAGTTTTTAAGTATTTGGCCAAGAAGTTTCAGAGAAGAAGATTTTTGAAAAAGTAATTAGACTTTCACATAAAATGTAAAAAAAAAAATGTTTTAAGGGCATTAACTCCTTAAGGGGTCAATTGACTATTTTGATCATGGTGACTTTGTAGATCTTACTTTGCTGAACATTTATTGCCATTGATACTTTCTCTCTACCTATTATAATATTAAAGAAAATAACCAAAAACAGAAAATTTTAATAAAAATAAACTATTTCCAACAGTAACCCAACAATGGGTTGTCGAACTTGTCTCAAAATTTCATAACAGTTAGATCATGACTCATTTATCACTTAAACTCCCTTTCACTTTTGCTCTAACTGCTGTAGTTTTCGAGATATAAGCCAAAAACAGCTTTTGTCCCCTATGTTCTATTTTTATCTATGGCGGCCATGTTTGTTGATGGATTAAAACTTAGGATACAATAGACCACTTTCGAGGTTATGACCTTCACCAGAAAAAGTCGTCATTTATGCGCGCCTTTATGACATAATTTACCAGATAGAGGGGATCGCCTGTATCCCTGCACTATTAACGTTCATCACGCGTCTTAGTGGCCGTCATTGTGCAGGATAAACTAGAAATACTGTTTGTTCCGTAGGTACTTAATCACAATTCCCTAATGATAGCAGTGCTGAATGTCAATTATAAGACTTTAATTTGCCGAATATTTCGTGCAATATAGGATCATATTTTTCTAACCACTCCCTCAACATGGGAACAGAAGTGACTGCTAGAGTTTTTGAGATAAAAGCCAAAATCTGCATTTGACCCCTATGTTCTATTTTTAGCCATGGCGGCCATGTTTGTTAATGGATAAAAACTTCGGATACAATTTATAAACCAGTTACCCTAAAGAACATTCAGTTAAACTTTAGAAGTATTAGGCCCAGTAGTTTCAGAGGAGATGATTAACAAATTGTGTAAAATTGTCTTTAAAGGTCAATAACTCCTTAAGGGGTCAATTAACAATTTTGTTCATTTATCTTTTTTGTAGATCTTACTTTGCTGAACATTTTTTCTGTTTACAGTTTATCTTCATCTTCAATAATATTCAAGATAATAACCAAAAACTGCAAAATTTCCTTAAAATTACCAATTTAGTGGCAGCAACCCAACAATGGGTTGTTCAGTTCGTCTGATAGGGCTGATAGATCTTGACCTATTGAACATTTTTATCCCTTGTCAGATTTGCTCTAAATGCTTTAGTTTTTGAGATGTAATCCAAAAACTTCATTTGACCCTAATGTTATATTTTTAGCCATGGTAGCCATGTTTGTTGATGGATCAAAACTTCGGATAAAATGTATAAACTAGATACCCTAAGAAACATTCAGTTAAAGTTTGAAGGTATTTGGCCCAGTAGTTTCAGAGGAAAAGATTCTTGAAATAGTTTACGACGACGACAGACGAGGATGGATGACAAGAGATGCCAAGTGATGGCATAAGCTCACATGGCCCTTTGGGCCAGGTGAGCTAAAATACGGACCAAAACATAAAAACTTAACACTGAGCAATGAACAATGAGAATGAGGTCAAGGTAAAAAAAAACCTACCAGACTGACATGTACATCATGATATATTTCCATACACCAAATATAGTTGACCTATTGCATATAGTATTCGAAAAAAAGACCAAAACACAAAAACTTAACTTTAACTACTGAACCATGAAAATGAGGTCAAGGTCAGATGACACCTGCTAGCTATAGTTGGACATCTACACCTTACAATCATTTCATCCCCAAATATAGTAAACATATTGCTTGTAGTATCTGAGATATGGACTTGACCACGAAAACTTAACCTTGTTCACTAATCTATGAAATGAGGTCGAGGTCATTTGAAAACTGTATGACAGGCAGGAGGACCTTACAAGGTACGCACATACTAAATATAGTTATCCTAATACTTACAAAAAGAGAGAAATTAACATTACAAAAAATATGAACTTTTTTTTCAAGTAGTCACTGAACCATGAAAATGAGGTCAAGGACAATGGACATATGACAGACGGAAACTTCATAACATAAGGCATCTATATACAAAGTATGAAGCATCCATGTCTTCCACATTCTAAAATATAAAGCTTTTAAGAAGTTAGTTAACAGTGCTGTGGCGGCCGCTGGATCACTATCCCTATATCCAGCTTTCTACAACAGAAGTGGCGGTCTCGACAAAAACTGTGCTATCATTGCGTAAAACAAGTTGTAGATTAAGTTGACTTTTGTCTTTGCTTGCACTTTCTTTAAGTGTTCTCGTCGAGGTTTGTGTTATAATAAATTCATAGATTCATGACAACATTACAAAGATGGATAAAGAATGAGACATCCGAAATGATTTTTAATACGATCATCTGAGTGATTTGAAAAAGGATAATTTTTCTTATTAGTTCAGCGCCCTTTTGTCACAGAGAGAAAACACATGTTGATCCAAGATGACAAGTAAACAAGCAAAAAGAAAATCTACAAAATTTAAATGTTTGTTTTGTTTGGCTAGGCTAGGAAATATACTGCCTTAATTTCTTCATGGTTAGGATCGATTTTTTTTGTGTGTTTTGACTGGTAACTTTTATGATCCAGGTTTTGAGGTTGTTTCTTGTTTACTCAACTTGATTGCATTGGTTTCTTGGTAATGGTTGATTATAACCTATCAGTTGCTTTCTTACCTTTTTTTAAAATATCTGGCAACATGATTGATATCAAGCAATACAACAATTTACTAATAAGATTAACCCTTATAAAAAAAGCTAAAAGGAAAATATTATTCCTATGAAAACTCATTTTGTATGCACTTGTAAACAGTCTGAAAATGTCTAAAAGTGCTCCATTTTCAATGTAAGTCATAAAAAATTTCAGAACCCTAGTTCTTTTATGATTAATCAAGTAGCCAGGTATATAAAAAAATCCCCTTTCGGAAAGAAATGAAACACTATAATTTAAAGAAATAAGTTTGCAAGACGTGGAGAGATTAAGAGCTTCACACATTAAAAAGGAATCTATCTATTGTTTAAGACTACATTGGTCTCCAGTCATTGTTTTGGTTGGTTGTTTTGTTTTTTTCTTTACATTCAGTGCAAAACATTACATGCATGTTCTGGTGTCTACATAATATAATTTTAGTAAATTCTCTTGAGGACAAAATTTGTACGATCCCATTTAAATTATGTGAGTGCGATAATCTTTATGACCGCATGGCCAGGATGAGACATCATTTTGGCTTCTTTGTGGCATTTGGTTATTGTATCATGGATGTGTACCAAAAAAAACATTTTATTCATAATGCCCAATAAAAATATGTGTGTGGTTCGAGTTACATCCTGAAAAAAAAAGGGTCGGTAGGTCAGCATTTTTGTTTTTATTTAAATTTTTTATTCCGGTATTATACACGCCTCTACCGGAAAATATTTTCTATATGTTAGGTTGTAAAATAAACAGACATGTTACGTTTTTAGTTAATTTTGTTGCATTCTGTTAAGAATTTGATGCATTTTTAGCCGTAGTGGATACTTCTAATGGAAATTCAAACGACAGAAGTATGTGTATCTAATTATTGAAATTCACATTCCGCAAAATGGGATCGTTCAAAAAGTTCTAGGATCGAGGGGTTTAAAGTAGGGTCAGTCAGGTAACTGGAACCACACATATATTTTTATTTGGCCTAAATAAGACAAGAATCTTACTTTGATAGATTGAACCATTCTCTATCTTGATTTGTTGGCCTGTTTGTATTGGGTGGTGTGAGCATGAGAGATCGTGTATCCATCTCATTTTCTACATTCCTATTGGGTGGTGTTAGTATTTGAGAACGTCTACCCAATTCTTTTCTTCCATTGCTGAATAAAAAAAATAATAATATAAAAATATGCTTTCTTTTGAACTTTTTTTTAAAACTTTAAACATGCTAAATGCAGACTTTTATTCCACACTGTTGCCAGATTCCTCTGCATTATAGGGGCATTAGCTATGAGATATAGAAAAAAATAAAACATTATTTTTTTGTTCAATCATTAATGAAAGTGAAATAGTGATATAATAATTCGCTTTTAGCAGCCAGTGTGGTTCAGTTTTGTCATAATATGAAAAGAAACATCACTAATGAATTATTCACTTGCAAGTGAATATTTCGACCTCCTTAAATCCATATTCATGTGAACATGGGTTAGGCATGCACTAGGCGTGTTGAGCTATTAAAAAGAAAAGAATGTCAACATTGGAAGTGAAACAAGTGCAAACTATCTGGTTGACTGGTTTGATCTACAAAAACTCATTCTTATACACATGATACAGGTAAAAACAATTATCAACTATATGAAATCAAACAGAATAGAAAAATCCAATTGCTCGAGTTCGCTATCTATTCATATCTATGTTTATGTTTATATCTGGTTATATGACCGTTGGCAGTCTTTGGAGGTCACCTCCATGGTTAATTAGATGGGGTCTAGACTAAATACACACAAAATGTTGATACATATTATCGAGTCTGTGCATCGTAAATTTGTTAATTTTAGACTTTTTATAATTTGGATACACGTTTTAGTATGTTATAAATCAAATATGAGAATTTATGTCAAATAGGTGTACATGAATTTGACAGCTAATGCCCCTTTAAGGTTTTAATTATAGCATTCAAATAGGCAAAAAATTACTTTGATTGATTGATTGATTGATGTTTAACTCATCTTTCAACAATATTGTGCTATTTCGTGGCGGTCAATTATTGTTGGTGGAGGAAGCCGGAGTGCCCAGAGAGACCCACTGACCTTCAGTAGGAAAACTGACAATCCTAGTCAATTAAGATTGGAGTCGAATGCACCTGACATGTGTGGGATTCGAACTCACAACCTCATGTTGACAGGCTAGTGATACAGTGTTCCACTACTTAGACCACTCGGCCACAGAGGCCCCTAAAATTACTTTGAAGACCATTATGTAAGATTACAACCTGCAACTTAAAAACAAGAGTTCACACACTGAAATGTCTCGACTGCATTACTGATGATTGATTTTGTGTTGATAGTCCTAAATATAAAGTTTTACTACAAGTATCACATAAACTTTACATGATCAAAGAAAATGAGGTCAAGGTCAGAAAAACCAAGTCAGAAATACATGTACACCTTAAAATAAATATATACACCAAATATACTTGACCAAATATAGTATACAAGAAACAGACCAAACCATGAAAACTTTATATTGAGCAAAGAACCATGAAAATGAGGTCAAGGTCAGATGAACCTTACCAGACAGACACATGTATACCTTACAATCATTTAATGCTTTAAATATAGATGACCTATTGCATATGTAGTATCTAAGAACATGAAGAAACAAACTTAACCAGGAAAATTTAAACAGGGACCTTTTAAAGCCAACCCTACGGTATGGGTTTTTCTCATTTTTGAAGGCCGTACGGTTGCATATAATTGTTTAAATCCACTTCATTTGAACTTTGGTGGATAGTTGCCTCATTGGCAATCATACCACATCTCCCTACTTGTATATTAACATCGACCAATGAACCATGAAAATGAGGTCAAAGTCAGATGATAACTGCCAGACAGACATATACACATTATAATCTTTCCATAAACCAAATATAGTTAATCTATTGCTCATAGTTTAAGAAAAACAAACCAAAACACAAAAACTTAACATTGAGCAATGAACTGTAAAAATCAGGAAAAGGTCATATAAAACCTGCCAGACTGACATGTACAAAATGTACATTGTAAAATATTTTCATACAACAAATATAGGTGACCTTTTGCGTACATTACTAGAAAAACAGACCAAAAAACAAAAACTTAACCTTAACCACTGATCCACGAAAATGAGGTCAAGGTCAGATGACACCTGCCATTTGGACATGTTCACATTACAATCATTCCATACACCAAATATAGTAGACCTATTGATTATAGTATCTGAAATATGGACTTGACCGTGAAAACTTAATCTTGTTCACTGATCCATAAAATGAGGTTGAGGTCAAGTGAAAACTCTCGGACAGGCATGACATCCATTTTCATTGAACTAGTACACATTTTTATTAGGGGCCAGCTGAAGCCGGCCTCAGGGTGCTGGATTTTCACGCTGTGTTGAAGACCCATTGGTGGCCTTCTGCTGTTTTCTCCTCGACGAAAACCAATCTGCTCAGGACATTTTAAGTTCAAGTGCATGTCTTACATCAGGAACGACTTCAGTGGTTGTCTTCTTGTACCACAATGTTTTTTTGTTATTTAGAGCTGTTCCAGTTCTCCTATTTGAACTGCTTTACATTTGTCATTTAGGGGCCTTTTATAGCTGACTATGCGGTATGGGTTTTGCACATTGTTCAAGGCTGTACGGAGACCTATAGTTGTTAACTATATGTCATTTGGTCTCTGGTGGAGAGTTGTGTCATTGGCAATTATACGACATCTTCTTATTTTTATATTGGAGACATTATTTTAAGACACGGCGACCCATTAAACAAAATGTTCATTTCAATTATAATTCTTACAAAATTCTTAGGAAAATGTAGCCACCCATATTTAATTAATTTTAGTGCCTCCTATCTCTCAACCTGATAAATTTTGAAACAGTTCTGAGTGAATTTTGTACGGAATGAAAATCTTATAGGAGAGAACCGCCAACCATGAGCACCTGCCACATGCGGGGAATGAACTCACAACCTCAGTGTTGAAAGGCTAATGATACACTAGATGCACTTTTTAAACCACTTGTTCACTGAGGACCTTTTGGTTATTCTATTTGTATTACACTTACTCTAGGGGGTCATGTGGTATGGCTGGTCTCCCAAAGGTTGTTTTGTATTCTGCTTCTGAAGTGTAAGGTTCATGCTTTTCTCTCAATTTGTCTTGTTTGTCTTTTTTGAATTGCCACTTGTTGACTTTCTCATGCCACTTTCTCTTGGTTTCATTTCCTGGAGACTTTGACATGGAATGTTTGCCATTAACATCTCCCTCATATCTGCAGAACAAATATACATTTAAAGTTATTGTCACAGAAAAATTGGACTTGTGGAATATGTTAAGAAGCTTCATCATATCTTTCAAATTCATTTACTGTAAATTCAGATATTATTGCGTGTATTTATTATTGCGATTTTGTCATTTTAGACCAAAATGCAATTATTATTTTTGCGATACTGAGAAAAAGTCCGCTTCATTCATAAAAAAAAATCCAAAATGTGAGTTTAAATTATTGCCATCACAACCCTGTCGCCATTTTCGCAATAAAAACATCGCAATAATTTCTGAATTTACAGTACACTAAATTAGAAATTATCATGTGAGGTTTTATTTTCATTTATTTGATGAGTAAGGACACCATATTGTCAGCTTGCACTATATTTCTATCATGCCATATACTGTGAAATGGGAGGTGGGTCCAACTTCTATTTAGGCATATAACTTAAATAGTTCACATCAAAATAAACATATGTACTAAGTTTAAATTCAAGATGATATCGTCTTCAATTTCAGGATAAACTACCGTGACCAAAAACTTTAACCTGATATGGACAGACAGACAGTCCAACAGACAAATACACAGACAGGCAGGCATAACAATATGTCCTATCAAAAATTTTATCTGGTAGGATGCAATCGTAACACCCACTCAAATGGATTCTGCTCTATTTCCAGGGTATTGGCAATAAGAATATAACATAAAATTCAGCCCTTGTTAAGAAGAAAATCAACCCCAGACTTCATCCTCAATCAATATACTTCAATATATCCTTGTATCAACCTATGTAAAGACTATGATTGTATATCACAATAAGTTTGAACTGAACTTCTTCTGATTTGCTTTTAAAACCATTGTTTTGATCAGTAAAACAGCATAAACAAGAGGCACATCTGTGCCTGTATTGCTCACCTGTTGTAAAAGTGCCAGTCTGCTAATGAAGAACTTTAAACGCATATAAAAGATATTCTGTGTGTTGTTGATCATTTTTGGAATTTACTCTTTTAACCTAGCTAGCTAATATAGATTTCAAATAACAGTCAAACCTGAAAAATAGGTTGTCCAATTTTCTGAATTTTCAGAGTAGATTTAGTTTTTGTCATGTTGATCATTTTTGCAATTCACACATTTAACATGTTTAACTAAGCTCCTATATATAGTTTCTAAGATAACAGCAAAATTATGCTAAAATTGGAAAAAAATGGATATGACTCTAATACATGTTGACAATTTTCTGAAGGCTTCGGGTTAATAGATCTTGTTATGCTGATCATTTTTGCAATTAAACTTTTAACCTTAGCTGTTATGGTTTTAACCATCATAGCCAAAAACTACGAAAATTGGAAAAAAAACTTGAATTGTAGGGGCAATAACTCTTAGTCTCTAATAGGTTGACAGATTTTCTAAAATTTACCATGTATATAAATCTTGTCATGCTGATCATGCAAAGTACACTTTTAAGTTGTTTCAAAGAGAACAGACAAAAACTGAAAATTGATAAAAACTTGCATTTCAGGGGCAATAACTCCATAATGGGTTGACAGATTTTCTAAAATTTTCAAGGTAGATAGAGCTTGTTGTGCTGACCACTTTTACCTGTGTCAATTTTTCTCTAAATGGTATATTATTTGAGACATTCACCAATTACTGTAGTTTGAGAAATATTTATCAACCAGGAAAAATTTACAAATTTTGTTATATACATCCTATAGATGAAGCAAACCAACTTTGCGATTTAATGCATCGAGCAGTTTCAGTGGAGAAGATTTTTTAAGAAAGTTTATGGATGACAGAAAACAGATGGACGTAAAACACATGCAAAGTGATGGAAAAATTTTTGAGCCAGGCGAGCACATAAATACTGATAAATTGATTATTGTTGCTTTTTTATGTGTTTGGTATCTGGGTAACGAATATAAACATGTTTTAATGCAACATTTTCTTATACAATGCATGCAAGGCTTTTATATCTAAGCAATTCAACAAATTGTTGCAACAGTGAAAATCTGCAACTTATAAAAAGCAATTTTAGAAAATCAAAATACTTTCCATACTTTAATTTCTCTAAAAGAATGAGGGTCCTGATTGGGTAGGTGGGTCTTCATTTCTGCATTTTTAAAATTTTAGGCCATTTTTCTCAATTCTCTAATTTTGCCTCTATCATTCTTTATTCTTTATAACACTGGTCCATTTTTCTCTGTTCTTAATTTTTTTCCCCATTATTCTCTATTCCATACACCATCATGACCCTCATGAATTCTGTTTTTCATACAGTTTAAGTATTCACAATAAATGGAGTTCAGTATTTTACTTTTTATGTAATTATGCTTACAATGATAAATGCTTAAAATGGGGTCATTCCTGTTTTAGCTGGCACTGTTTAGCAATTGTGGATGGTTTTGTTCTTTCTTCATATGGTTTGGCTTTGTCATTAATTATGTATTTTCAACTCCAAAACCAGAAAGAAAAATGGGCATAAGAAATAAAGAATAAAGAAAAATGGTCTAAAAATAAAGACTAAAGAAATGAAGAGCCCCCCCATCCAGACCCTCAAGATTAGTGCCAAATAATAAATAAAAATTCTTACGACTCAGACTCTTTCAGTTTAGCATCCGCATGGAAATTAATCTTGAGATTAATCCTTTCAGGTCTGTGGTAATCTTTACGTTGACTTACATGCATGTTCAGAATTTCCTTAAACTTGAACAGATCTACAATAAATAAAACCAATTATTAAATATGTAAAAAAAAAAACATAAAAGGTTAAAAAAATGTACACCTACAATAAATAATACAATTCATTATTAATAGACCAGAAATAAAAAGATGTACGTAGGGTCATAAAACTCATAAACATTATAAGGTTGTTAAAAAATGAATATGATCAGATGCAGATAAGCATGATGAAGGTCTCAAACCACTAAGCATGCTGCAATTGTTTGCATCTGTCCTCACTCAGGAATCTGATGTTCAGTAGTTGTTGTTTGTTGATGTGGTTCATAAGTGTTTCTCGTTTCTTGTTTTTTATATAGATTAGACCGTTGGTTTTCCCGTTTGAATGGTTTTACACTAGTAATTTTTGGGGCCCTTTATAGCTTGCTGTTCGGTGTGAGACAAGGCTCCGTGTTGAAGCCCATACTTTGACCTATAATGGTTTACTTTTATAAATTTTGACTTGAATGGAGAGTTGTCTCATTGGCACTCATACCACATCTTCTTATATCTATATAAGCAAAGATAAATTATCAAGTCTCATACTTGCTTTTGTTAATTACAATCATAATTAATGAATATGGAGTTACCGTGTATTTCTATTCCTATAAATATTTTCCATGTCAAAATAGAATTTGACTTCTTATTTTGGAACTTTTTCAAACTAATACTCTTATTATGCTAACCATTGCTAACAGTCATTTCTGCAATTGTATAAAATACTTAGATTCCATCCATTGTACTGTTTTTAAATTTTAATCTTCAACACGAGCTTTTAGATATTTATTGGGACACTGTGTACATATATTTAATCTTTGAAAGTAAAATGATTGGAAACCCATTATGAACCAACACATATATGAGGGTCTTGATGGGGTTTACAGAATAGAGAATAATGGACAAAAAGTGCAGAATATAGACCAAAAAATATAAAGAATAGAGAAAAATAGGCCAAAAATAGTGAATAGAGAATAATGAGGTGCTGAAATATAAAGAACAGACAATGATAGAGAATAATGAGCAAAAAAATTGAAGAATAGAGAAAAATTACCTAAAAAATTAAAAAAATTAATATTGAAATGATTCATTAGAACCCCCAATCCAGACCCTAATGCATCATGTTTCCAATAGATGAGGGGCCTGATGGGTTATTTTCGTTCTTCGTGATCGGCGCATTTTCGCTATTGTGAATGTGATCCGTTTTTCTAGATTTTTTTTTTTTAATATTTTTGTGATCCGTGATCATGGAAATTTATTTTCTGTGAATCGTGATTGACAAAAAAATCAACTCGTGAATCGTGATGAGACCCCCCCCCATCAGGCCCCTCATAGATCTACACTTTATGCAAACTTGTATGTCATTACTTAAAGTCAAACAAGTTCCTGTAAAATTTAATTTGCATCACATTTTACGTCATAAATAAATACTGATTGTTGCCTGATGCCAGAAGGTTATTCGAGAAACAGATCTAGGGTCATTCAGTGCAAATTCAGCTAAATACCAAAAAGTGTAAATATGTCTATCTATTTACAATAAAGGATAATATTTTGTTCCTTTGGCTTTCTTTCAACAAGTTTTTTACCTCTTGGTCTTCAACGATGTTGAGGTCCCCTGTAATAACATGGCCGAAGGGATCATACCTCAAATTTGATGATTCACATTCTAAAGTTTGAGGAGGATTATTTTCTATACTGACATCTGATGTTACTGGTATGTAATAAAATATTTAATTTTAGTTTTTTTTGTATGTACATGAAGTTAAAAGGTGGTTCTTTGTTCAGTCAGGGGTACTACTTAAACAAGTGATTTCAGAATCACTTCTTCGAGTGATTTTGGCTGTGAAATATTAAAAATTTTCACAAAAATAGACACAGACTTTTTAAAATCACTGAAACAAGTAATTTGAGAAGTTAAAATGTAATCACTTCAATATGTGTTTATAACATTTTCTTGATATTTTTCCCAAAAGGTTGATTTTTTATTGGTAAAAAGACAAGAATTCCATTGAAATAACATTAAACAACTATGTACATGCAGAAATTGTCTTTTGCTTGATAAGACTGTCAGTTTTTACAGTTTATTCATTTGTTATTTAAAATATGTAAAAACTGGAATAATTTGTAGATCAGGACATAACCTTGAAGTAGATCATTCTAACTCTGAAGAAAACCAATCAGGTTACCTAATGTTGTTGACCTTTTCTGATAGTAAGAGTAGTTAATGAATATTTGATTACAGAAAAATTCCCAAGGGTACTTTTAAAAGCTTTAGCGCACTAACTTACTGCCCAAGCGCACTGGTGAAATTAATATACAAAGAAAAAGGGACAATTGATCTATGTAGGAAAATTATAGAGAAGTTTGTCAAAATATAGAAAATCAAGGAAATTAGCATTTGAAGATCAAAGGAAACACCAAAATCACTTAAATAGGTGATTACTAAATTTATCAAATCACTGAAATAGGCGATAATGAAATCACTTGTTTAAGTAGTACCCCTGACTGTTGTTATTTAAATAGGGAGGTATAAAGTTTTGAATGGAAGCATTATCAAATATACTAGAAAATTTGATAAAATTAATACATCTGATACTATATTTATTTTTAGGAAAATGCTGTTTAAGTCCTTCAAGTTTATTGATACGTTGGAGCACTGCCTATGGTGACAAAAAACTATAAAGATCTAGATAGTGTTTACAGAATAGAGAATAATGTCTAAATAATATCATGAATAGAGAAAAATGAGCAAAAAAGTTAAAGAATAAAGAATAATTGGGTGCAAAAGTTTTAAGAATTTCAATTAGGTAATGCAATACTAAATACAGAAATAAACAATATGCATATTAAAGAAATCACAGAATTGTAGAAATAATTGAAATTTTACAAAGTAAGCGAGTTTTTCAAACATGTCAAAGATAAAGTAATTGTTAAAAATTTACAGAATACAGAAATTAAGGACCCCCCCCCCCCCCCCTCCCCCTCATCCATACCTTATTGTATGTGTACATTCATTTGAGAGTGTGCCTTGAACAATGTAAAAAGGAATAAAATATACTAAATGTTTCAACATGTTCAAAGGCAACAGGGCCCTCTGTGGCCGAGTGATCTATTAGGAGTCTAGCTAATATATCAATAGCCTGTCAACACTGAGATTGTGAGTTGTAATCCTGCATGTGGGAGGTGTCCTCTGCTCCAATCTTAATTGAATACGATTTTCAGTTTTCCTACGGAAGGACTGGTTGACCGCCACAATACCAATCAATCAATCAACAAATTGCAACAAGTTATATTATACTTAATTTAAGTCTAAAATCTAAAAGATTTTCACGAGAACTACATCATGTACATGTAAGCCGACATGTATGTAGCTGTGGAACCGTAGCTCATATATCCTTATGATATTTTTTGACAATTTGCGGACTTCGAAAAATATCATAAGGACCTATGAGCTACGGTTCCGCAGCTAGCCTACATGTAGCACGCACTTGCGTGGTATAGTTTGGGCCCTAAACTACTTAAGTAAAAGAAGGCCACAAAAACCTTTCCGTGGATGAATTCATGAACAAACCTCTCGATAATTAAATTTTACCCTATAAATTACTCTTGATTTTCAATGACAGCTTGTCTTGAAGCCAGTTACACCACATTCGTGTGGGCTTCTTTTTTTTTTTTTTTTTTGTGGCCCATCAATCAATCACCGGAAGTGTACGCATTCGCTAAGCAACCTAACCGAATCCGGGTCCGTTCGGCCTGCATAAATTTCGCCCTAGTACCCTTTCGCCCTAGCACCTGTACGCTCTGAGTCCGTTCGACCCGGGTCCGTTCGTCCTAATTTTTATTTTATTTTGTTGTTTTGTTGTATAATGACAGAATTATTGAATAGAGTAGGTTAGTCAAAGTCCATTTTATTTTATTTTATGTCAAAGTTTGGCCTTGCACTTTCTTAATTCTATATATATCTTTATCAATTTCTATTAATATTTGGATAGAGTCGAAGGTGTTGTTAGGTAACATCTGGGACTATTATACTAACAATTATATTATGTGCCAGGTAACATATCCAGTTTTATATAGTATTGTAGAACTTGTCAGCCATTCCTGCCGTAGGTCTATACAAGCCTTGAAGCAGTTACTATGATTACGATCATTTGTGTATACATACTGTTTCCTTAGATCTAGAAATCTCTTGGAATACATTATATGAAATTTTAAGGAGACGTAAAATAGCTTTTGAGATAACATTAAAACATTTAGTTTTTTGGCTATAAGCATGATACGAATAGTTTGGTTTTAAATCCTTTAGGTAACGATTGTAAGTTTTTTTTCAATTTACAAACGGCTTATTACGTCTGAATGATCAAAAGACCAAAAAAAAAAAATAAGCAACACGACGGGTGCCACATGTGGAGCAGGATCTGCTTACCCTTCCGGAGCACCTGAGATCACCCCCAGTTTTTGGTGGGGTTAGTGTTGCTTAGTCTTTGGTTTTCTATGTTGTGCCACGGTCATCTGTACTATTATGTGTCTGTTTTGTCTTTTTATCTTTGGCCATGGCGTTGTCGGTTTGTTTTCGATCTATGAGTTTGACTGTCCCTCTGGTATCTTTCGTCCCTCTTTTAATTTAGCTAATCTGCAATCAATTCCATCTTCATGCCTAATACTATTAAAGTACTTTTATTCGTGGGTATCAATTTTCGTGGTTTGAGCAAAAATTACATGTTCGTGGGTTCTTATATTCGTGGGTTCTTATATTCGTTGATTTTAGTTTTCTGAAGAAAAAAAATCGAGTTGAGAAGCCATCACAAACGATGTTTTTGGGAAAAAATCATATGTTGTTTTATAATGATTTGTGGGAGATTGCAAAATCTGGTGTTCATTTTTACTTACTTGGTTCATCTTTCATTACTGACAACATTCATCCAATTTTTATAATATAAATGCTTTCGAAAATAAGCTGATTCATCTATACTTACAAATGCGGACAGGACGTATGCGCTTTTTTACCTGTAACACGATAGGACATTTGCGCTCCAAACACTGGACATTTGCTCTTTAAATTTTGATACACCTGTATTAAATTGACCGGACATTAGCGCTTCTTACCTATAGTCGTCTACACGTTAGTTCACATTGACACAGTCTTAAACACAGAGTTTAAAGATATAGACTAATAAAGGGAAAAAAATGTATATGTCACGATGGATTTTTATCATTTAACAACAGTCGGTTAATTACATTAAAATTCGTTATATTGATGAACAGGGACCTCAGTCAAGAATTGTGAAAGAGAAACTAGAATATTTATTTGAAATGTGGGCGAAATACCAGTCAGGACAGATTACAAGAGCTAAATTTCTTCATTTCCTGAGCTTCAGATATCAAGCAAAAACTGATCTGTGGTGACTATACGTGTCTTTATGCTATTAGAATGTTTACTTTTAGCTATACATAACTATATAAATATGCTATGAAATGACTTTTAAACTTAAATGTGCTATGAAATGACTATTTATCTTTTATCCATAATGAAAATGATTACCTTATTTCTGCCAGGTCAAACCTACCGGACCTAAGCCCGGATAACATAGGAAGGGAGTCATAAGAAGCAAATATTGTAAAAGCGCAAATGTCCTATATAAAAAGCGCAAATGTCCTATAAATTGAAGCGCAAATGTCCATTAAGAAAAGGGTGTCTTTCCCTTGCATTGCAATATGTTACCTACGGACCCATCAACGAGTTGTTACAAGGGTTCTTAACGAGCAGAGAGCGTGGGACTTTCCCTTCACGAGGCGACGGATTTAACATCTCAATTCTGACCGAACGTGGCTGCGAATTTATACACCTAGCTCAACTAAACGGGCGCCCTACTTTGGCAAGGGTTTTACTGCGTATCGGAAGAAGACCAAGGGATGACCATAAGTTTTATAATCTAGTCACCTTTAAAGTTTACAGTATTTAAAAATCAACACTTGTATACTATTACTTTATTTGTTAGTGCATCATTCCAATTAATTTGGGGTCTATTTTAGCTTTTTGGTTCAATTTACGAAAAGAATTGATGATGGATTTGTTGGTTGGTGTTTAACGTCCAGTGGCAAATATTATAAGAACCACATATTGTGGGAATGTAAACAAGTAGAAATGTTATTCGAAAATTTTACACATGGACTTCATCCAGTAAACATACAGTTAACATAACACTTACGTTAGATATAAAAATATGAAGATGTAGTATGATTGCCAATGGGACAACTCTCCACCAGGGACCAAATGACATAGAAGTTAATAACTATAGGACCATGCAGTAGTAGGCTATAAAAAGGCCCCGATTATAAATACTAGTAATAAACGACAACCACTGAGTTACAGGCTCCTGACTTGGGACAGGCACATACAGTATGTGGCGGGGTTAAACATGTTCTACCCCCTTCCAACCAACACAGTTCAACATAAGAACAAACTATAAAAATCAGTATTGCGCAAAATGAAATACCGCTTTGTATTTAATATGAAAAAGTCTCATCACTGCACGCACTCAAAAAAGTTAAAGGATCTGTACTGAAGAGAAAAACGTAGCTTTTATAAAAAAAAAAGAACATCTCGATAGAGACTGAAATTACTGGCAGTTTCTGTATAAGTATTTAAAAAATTCAAAGCAAAACTAAACATATATACACAAGAGGCATGTTCTCATAGTTTGTTTTTGAAACTTATAAATCTGATATTTTACACTTTCCAACTTGTCCCACCTTTGTTTCCTTCCATCAAGTAGCAAAAATGTAGTAAATCAACAAATAGTCATATACCTAGAATGCACTTTTTCCTTGTTCCTAAAAATGTTTGACCCAGTTTGATTTTCACTTTACATGCTTTCTTTGGCTTTTCTATTTCTGGCAGTTACACAAATTAAAGTATAATGCGTTAGAATGTGTAGCGAAATCATACAATTATCTCATTCTGATTGAAGACACTTTTCTTGCAAATACAAACGTTGTTAGAACAAATTCTATCTTTGATTTTGTCTTGCAATATTGATATATATAATATTCTTGAAATATATGTATTTTTAACACCTGCATATTACGCTATAATTGTTTACAATGATTCCGACCTATTCAGCTATGATCTTGTTGAATTATTTTTCTTATTTTGAGCGTCGTGATTGACAAATAAATATTTGTTAGTACGTTTGTTTACAAGACAGTAAGATCGAGACATATATTATACAATTATAGCCTTTGTATGAGGTCAATACGAGGTTATATCGACCTAAGAGAAGCATATTGACTGAGGACGAAGTCCGAGGTCGATATGCTTCTCTGGGTCGATATAACATCGTATTGACCTCAACCAAAGGCTACAATTGTTATATTATTAATCAACAACTATAGCATGAACAATGTAAAATTGGGGATTTCTAGAATCTATTTTAGTAACATGCTGTATGCCCTGTGCAATATGCTGTTTTTGACCTACGAAAAGCTAAACACAACAGTATTGGCGTGCAAACTGAGCAAATACAAATGTACATGTGATCAAGTTTTAACGAATCACAAATCCTTAAAAATATTCGATTAATAATATAACATAATAGTATAATATTGCAGATCAATATATGAAATATATTTCCAAAGAGGTTGAGTTACAAGAATACAAAATAATCCGGCGTGCGCGCAAACTTTTTTTTATTACCTCGCATGAGCAAATTATAAGAAGCCATCAATTTATATATTTTCTGAGTTACTCAGACTTTACTTTGTTTTCTTTTGTTTCACGTGAGAGAGAATTAAGTCCTTTTTCATTCTTCTTTGTTTTATCGACTAAATAGACTGCCGATATCCGTTTCCGGTCTTTGGCATCCTGGCATAATTATTTTTTTAACTTAAGGTGTTAAAAAATTCGAGCGATTTTTAACACTGCTTGTACGTCGAATGTTAAAATAATGAAAGGATCGTGAAATAAGACAAACAAAAATTTTCCCCAGACTTTGGAACTTCATTTTGCATGTACCAAGTCAGGAATATGACAGTTGTTTTCCATTCGTTTGATGTGTTTGAGCTTTTGATTTTGCCAATTGTTAAGGGACTTTCCGTTTTGAATTTTCCTTGGAGTTCGTTTTTTTTTTGTTGTTGTTTTACTTTTTACAGCAATATTTATGAACGATGATGCACGTTCTTCAACTTCTCCTACACTGATTGTCAATCAAGGTCCTTAAGACTTCACAGAAAGATCGAACACATGTTGAAGTAATGCAACTGCTAATATGGAATTGTTTGAAGATTTTTCGAATTTTTCCGGATTTGGGGACTAAAGTTATTTCAAGAAAAATTTACAAAACATTTTCCCATAGATCATCACCACAACCCGTGCTTAATTTATGGAATTAATTGAGGAACTATCCCTCATTTTTTCATAAAACTGTACATCTGTTTTAATGGAATTGATACTAGTAGAGGCACTTTTCATGAAGTTGCATGTACATACACCTGCTTTTATGAAATGATTGGAGAACGTTCATGTATGTACAGATAAGAGATTACAATTTTCACTTCAACACTTATTCAGTTAATTTATTAAATATTGCAACCCGGGTTTTGAGACTTTAACCCATTTTTTAAGGCATGTCAACGTCATTGAATGATACATAGGGTGATTTCTCACGAATCATCACCATACCTGCCAATTTTCAGAATATGC